TGAAAACATGATTTTTAAAGGATATGCCTTAATTTTGTAACTTACCCTGATTTAGAAAATAGAACTATATGGGGCACCTGGGTGGCTCAGTCGGTTAAGCGTCTGACTTCAGCTCAGGTCACGATCTCGCGGTCCGGGAGTTCGAACCCTGCGTCGGGCTCTGGGCTGATGGCTCAGAGCCTGGAGCCTGCTTCCGATTCTGTCTCCCTCTCTCTCTGCCCCTCCCCCGTTCATGCTCTGTCTCTGTCTCAAAAATACATAAACATTTAAAAAAAATTTTTTTTAAAGAAAATAGAACTATAGAGAAGAAAATAGAAATTACTCAGAGATAATCACTGTTAACATTTTAGTGGACTTCCTTCTATTGTTTTATGCATGGATATAGATACATCTATATTTTTAAATAAGGAATTGGCATTATATGGCTTATATGTGTCTGTGACAATATATATCAACAGTTTACAGAGGATGTGTGCATATACATGTACATATGTACAGATTTGTGTGAGTATATAGGCATATCTGTGTATGTGTATATATATGTATATATTTGTATCAACATTCTTTTACATTTTTTTTTAACGTTACTTTATTATTGAGAGACAGACAGAGACGGGGCAGAGAGAGGGGGAGACACAGAATCTGAAGCAGGCTTCGGGCTCTGAACTGTCAGCACAGAGCCCAATGCGGGGCTCGAACTCACAAACCGCGAGATGATGACCTGAGCCGAAGTCGGATGCTTAACCGACTGAGCCACCCAGGCACTCCTGTGTCAACATTCTCAGTAACTGTTGTTTTGTAAGCGTGGTGGCAAAAATTCCTTGACAATATACTTTTCCCCCCCAACTTTATTGAGACAAAATTGACATACAACCTATATAGTTTAAGGCATACAGTTTAGTAATTTTATATATGTGTTGTTGCAAAAACGATCACCACAGTAAGGTCAGTTAACAGATCCACCACCTCGTGTAGCTACAATTTTTTGGTGTGGTGAGAACTTTCAAAATCTATAGTCGTCATGCTGTACATTACCTCCCTGGGACTTTTTCATCTTATAACTGGAAGTTTGTACCCTGGCAACCACTCTCTATTTTCTATGAGTTTGGTGTTGTGGTTTTTTTGTTTTGTTTTTTTTAGATTCCACATAACATGCATTTGTCTTTCTTTGACTTATTTCACTTAGCATAAAGCTCTCAAGTTTCATCCATGTTGTCGTAATGGCAGGATTTCCTTCTTTTTTATGGTTGAATAGTGTTCCGTGATGTATACAGAAATCACATTTTCTTTCTTTATTCCCACCAACAGTGCATAAGGGATCCCTTTTCTCCACATCCTCGTCACCAGTTACCTTTTGCCATTCTAACAGGTGTGAAGTGACAGCTCATTATGGCTTTGATCTGTGTTTTCCTGATGATTAGTGACATTGTGCACCTTTTCACGTTTGAATATCTTGTTTGGAAAAATGGTTGTTCAGGTCTTTGGCCCATTTTTAAATTGGGTTATTTATTTTTTTGCTGTTGGGTTATATGTTTTCCTGATATATTTTAGAGAGTAGCCTCTTATCAGATATGTGGTTTGCAAATATTTTCTCTCATTCCATAGGTCACCTTTTCATTTTACTAATTTCTTTTTGTTGTGCAGAAGTTTTTTTTTTTAATGTTCTGTTTAATTTTTTTTAATGTTTATTTTTGAGAGAGAGAGAGAGAGAGAGAGAGAGAGAGAGACAGAGCACGAGCAGGGGAGGGGCAAAGAGAGAGGGAAACACAGAATCCCAAGCAGGCTCCAGGCTCTGAGCTGTCAGCACAGAGCCCAACCCCACAAACTGTGAGATCGTGACCTGAGCTGAAGTTGGACACTCAGGCGCCTGAGCGACCCAGGCGCCCCCGGAAGCTTTTTAAAAATGTTTATTTATTTATTTAGAGAGCAAGAGCAAGAAAGAACATGTGTACACACACAAGCAAGGGAGGGGCAGAGAGAGGGTGGGGGAGAGAGGAAATCCCAAGCAGGCTCCATGCTGCCCGCACGGAGCCCAGTGTCGGGCTCGATCCCCTGAACTATGAGATCATGACCTGAACCCAAATCAAGAGTTGGGTGCTCACTCAATCAACTGAGCCACCCAGACACCCCACCAGGCAGGAGCTTTTTCGTTTGATGTAGACAACATGCTTTTTACAGGCTGGGTACTTGCTTGAGCCGGTCCCCAGCTGACAGCCATGTAGATTGTCTTGAAGTGTTTGGCTGTCAGAGACATGGTTGTGATGAGCATCTCTGTGTGCAGTTTTTGCATACTCCTCTGATTATTTTCCAGTCTCAGCGTCCTAGAAATGGAATCACTGGGTCAGAGAATAGGAACTTCAAGGCTGTGCTGCCAAACAGCTTTCCAAAAATGTAGCATTTCACGGCCCGCCGTCAGGCATACAGAAGGCCTGAGACCCAGCTGAGATGTGGTGCCCACACTGGTGGCTTGGTGCATTTTAGGGGTGTAAGCTGTGGTCCCTGGTATTTCTCCTAGCTTTGGTGGCCCACCTAGAACCACCTGTTTTGTGTGCTCTGGGTGTGACGGGAAGATGACCTTCATTCTCCACATGGCATCTGGAAAGATGAGCTCTGCGAGCCCACAGACCCATGCAGAGACCAGGGAGAGCACCTTAAGCTCAACAGGTATTCTAACAAGCTCCTCAAAAGGTCTTTTTTTTTTTTTAATGTTTTATTTTATTTTTGAGACAGAGAGAGACACAGCATGAGCAGGGGAGGGTTAGAGAGAGAGGGAGACACAGAATCCGAAGCGCAGGCTCCAGGCTCTGAGCTGTCAGCACAGAGCCCGACGCGGGGCTCGAACTCACAGACGGTGAGATCGTGACCTGAGCCGAAGTCGGAAGCTCAACCGACTGAGCCACCCAGGCGCCCCATCAAAAGGTCTTTTGACCAATGTATGTTTTGGTAAAAGTACATGCCCGGAAATGGAAGCAGGCAGGGAGAAAGTTGAGGCTGACGCGACCCACATGAAAGTGTTCCTGGGAGCTGTAGCTCCAAAGCACGCTCCTTGGACTATTGGTTCCCAAACTGGCAGGCTGCATCAGAATTACGTGGAGCACTTACTAAGGAGACAGATTCCTGGGCCCATCCTGGGTCTAGCCAATCAGAATCTCCAGGTATGCGGCCTGGCAATCTGCATTCCCCCCGCCCCCCACCAGGTTTCAAACCCCTGCCTTAGCACACTGGCCCCTGAGGTGTTTACCGAGGCCACTTACGCTGGAGGAAGGACGACTCAGCACAGCGAAACAGGATTATTGGTCAGGACTCTCCTTTGGTTACGGGTTATAGAAACCTAAGGCGAACTAGTTTTTGGGTCGCCACACTCCGACTCTAGAGGCAGCGGTAACACCCAGTGTAACCTCATCCGGGCACTCACACCGCCCCCAGAGGGTGTCCTTCCTCTGGGGCCTCACTT